AAACTGGACTGCTTCTGGCTCCGTCGCAAGTCCTGTGATCTGTCCTGTCCTGTCCTGTCCACTGACCTTTGTTTTCGACCTTGACCTTGATGTCGCTTTTGAAATTTCAGAATGCACTGACAACAGTATGATGATGTCCGAACAATCTGCAATATATTCCGTTTCATGTATATAACTTTATATTCTCTTGAAAAATTCTGTTCCAGATATCAACTACCGAAATACCGAGGCACCAGGAGACAAAACTCACTTACTAAACCACACATTATTCAATATGCCGGAGTCCACGGAACCCTTGGCGCAGGCCCGGGTTAACGCGGACATATCCTTGCTTCGAGGAGTGTTGGTCAGACCCTTCGTCTCCGGCGAGGAAACAGACCCAGGCGAGTGAAGGCCGCTTTCAGGCTAGGACCCAAACGGTAGGGCGGTGCCCTTCGTCCACTAAAAGTCATCTTTGGATCGACGGAGGAAATCAAGTTTGTATTCCAGCGCGCCTTCTGCCTAAAAGGGGAGCCCGTCAGGCTACTACGCGACCTCGACGCGGACGAACGGCAGAGGCTGAAGCAGGCATTAACCGAGATCCATGAGCGTCGAGGTAGTGGTGAACAAGATCTCTTCATCCGGGATTTTCGGGTCCAGAAGAGGCACCCAAATTTCCGGTGGAGCCCTCTTGCAATACCGAACAGAGAGTCTCCTACGGCGTAAACGGGAGGGACGTACAGCCATCGACAGGCGCAGCCGCGCGTGCGTAGTGTCTGCCAATGCTCGTAGTATTTTGAACAAGCGAGACGAGTTGGAGGCGTTTGTCATGGAGCACTTCGCCCTCACAGAAACCTGGCTCACCCCCGACGTTGTTGACTCTGAGGTCTCCTGGGGTATGCGTCATTCCCTTGGGACCGTGCACAACCAAGGATGGGTGGGGGCGTCATGCTGTTTATCCACGAAAGTGTACCGGTTACTCACCTTCAGCTACGCGGATCCTGACGGTCAGGGAAAAGCGCTGTGGTGTAAAACCAAACTGCTGCAACGGCTACGCAACGATAGGAGTCTGCTACAGACCGCCAGAGACAGCCTCGGTGGCCATTCAGAAAGATATGCGTCGATGGGCTGGCGACGGCCACTGTTCGATTTTGGGTGATTTCAATGTACCCCTAATCGATTGGGACGAAAATCGCTGCCTACCGGGAGCAGACCAATTCTCCAGAGACCTCGAAGTCGCGAACCAGTTGACTCTGCATCAACACTCCCGCGAGCCCACCAGGATCCACGATTCTGCCCAGTCAGTCCTAGATCTGGTGTTATCCCCTCGAACATCGGACGTTGACGTCATTGACCACCTCCAGCCACTCGGTTCGAGCGATTATTCGACCTGTTGGTGCATTGGCGATGTGGAGCTCCGTATCGCTCTCGACCACATTCCGGACCCAATGTCTGGAAAGCGGACCACCATGGCCTGAGAATCACAGCGCAGTCCCTCCTGTTACAGAGGACAACAAGCGAATACGATCGTGGATAGAGAGAGAACACGTGAGCAGGAATGACACGCTTTACTCGTCNGGGCTGAAAAACAAAAAGAACGACGTGATTAACAGCGTACAGAAACAGAACGAATAACAAACACGACATTCGCCCCGGCAGAGAAAAAAGGATGTTCGTTATAGATTAATGATGATTTGTTTGGAAGAAAAGAAGAAAATAATAGAAGATAACTAGGCTTCTCTGTTCCGTAGGTTGTAAGGTCTCGTTCTTTGTTGTTGTAAGATTTCTGATGCACTGTCTGACACATGTTGGGACTGGGGAAGGGTCAAGAATCTCATGATTAGGTGAGTTGTCTGTCGATTTAGGAGGCGGAGTTTCTAACTGTGTGTGTTTTACTGTCCGGCAGGTCGCAGTTTTCTGGTCTCGAAACCAGCAGATCACCCGGTGGGGCCAAGCGTCGAATGGAAACGTTTTCTTCCCTGCCGTTGGGCATTTTCACGAGGGCGTAATGTGGGTTACAGCTAATGAGGTCAACTTCGTCTATTAAGTTGTCGTACCTCGAAGTTCGATCCATTCATTTGAGCAGCACCGGGCCTGGAGTTGTCAACCACGTCGGTATGTAGGAGCCATTGACTGAACGCCGGGGGAAAGAAAACAATCGTTCATGGGGTGTATTGTTGGTGGC